CAGCTTTTTTTTCCTATTTTGTATGTGCCAAGACTGGAAAATTAAACAGCACATCCTCTTAGAACTGAAATAAAAAATACACAGTCCCGCTGCTCCCTCTCTCTCTCTGTCTCTCTGTCCCGCTGCTCTCTCTGCCCTCTCTGTCTCTCTGTCTCGCTGCTCCCTCTCTCTCTCTCTTTCGGTCTCTCTCTCCCCCGCCCCCCACCCCTCTGGGGCAGCCACTTTCTCTTTCAGATAATAAAATCTCTTGCGTGGGGAAAAAAAAATACATAGTCCTTAGTTAAGGGTCCAAATAATAAATATATAAATAATCTTATTGAGATCGAAGGTTATATGTTTTCCTAGTAAGTAAGTTATGATTATACATTTATTTTGTGGAAAGTAAATACAAGAGGCAGGAGAAAACTCTTGTAAGAGAACTGTTTGCTAAACTGTACATTTTAAATATGTGTATTACTGTATGCAAATAGTATGCCAATAAGCTGTAAAAAATATTAAAAAGGGACCAAAATCCACTCTCCATAAAAAAGTAAATCCATTTTCTAATCTATTTAACATCAAATATGTGACTGAAAGAAAGAAATAAAAAATGATGCTACCACTTTCATTTTAAAACATTGTGGGGATCACTTTAAGATGACAAGAAATCCAAAGGTTACAGACGCCTATGAGACCCGCTACTGGCCATCCAAAGCAGCTGAGAATAATTCATTTTCCATATTCTGAAAACAAACTAAGGAGGCCACAGAAATCTGAGGCTAGAAATACTCCTGCTGGTAAACGGTTAAATTTATCAACCAAAGGAAATCAAGAGCCATCAAACAGTTTTCATCAGGGTCCTGACATACACACATTTTCCTTTTGACTGGAGCTGAAATCTGAGAGCTGGGATTTAGGAGGCTACATTAGGAGGCTGTTTTAGCTGTCCAGGTGAAAGATAATGGCTGGAATTAAGACAATAAGAGTGGAATAGAGTGAATTAGACTAGGATATTGCTACTTTTAAAAAAGCTTCTCAGTTGATCTCAGTTGATGATCAAGAGTTGAAAATCACTGCAGGAGATTTATAGCGTCAGGTGAAGGTTGCCTGTGGTGAGAGATCTGGTGAGATAAAAAATAAAAGCAAAGTAGAAATTTAAAGAGTGTCAGGCTAGTTAGCAAAGGGCATGAACCTGAGGTTCACCTGTGATGCTCTTACTAGACCAGTTCCCTTTTATAAAGCTGCAGGTCCTGACCTTACCTGAAATGTGTCCCAGCCGACTTTGAGAATAAGGGAGAAACTGATGAAATGCTGTTTGGGGTGTGAGCATAATTTTCCTGGAATGTAAGCAATGGGTATGATAATCTCCAGACTCCCAAAGATACCATGAGGCACTTGAGGCACACTTAGTTCTCGGACCCAGGATCCTTAGGAAGTATGGAAATCTTGTGTGTATAAAACAAGCAAATGAAAACAAACTTCACTTCATCTTTCTTTTCCTAAAACCTACCAAGTATTTTTTCTCTCTCTTTTACTATCAAACTTCTTCAAAGAGGCATCTACATTTGTTGCTTTCATGTCCTCATCCCCTTGGACTTTTCAGCCCCTACCTGGCACTCATGCTGTACCCTCTTCCTGGCAGATTAATCGATCCTGTTCTCTGTCCTTTATCTCTAGTCCTTGGTCTGATATGCATTTCCAACTGCCCACTGAATTTCTCTTGCTGTGTATCCTGCAGACATTTACAATTCAGTATTATTATTTGGAATTATCATATTCAGTATTTTCACCTCAAGTCTGCTTTTCTACATATATCCTCTCATCTTGGTTAATGGCATCTAGTCAGTCATCCGAGCTAGACCCGTTGGAGTCATTTTTGACTCCCCTCTTCTCCTTCCCCAGTTCTTACATGCAAAACACCAATAAATGGTTTCTGAACTAGTTAAGAGCTCAGAAGAGTGCCATGTCATTTTAGGAAATGATTACATATGCTTTTGTACTTAGAGCTTGGTTGTGAACTGGGGAGAACAAATCACGTAAGGAGCATAGTTACCCATCCCGGATGAGGTAGTACTTCAGGATCTCATCGATCTTGGAAGTGGGGGTGGCAAAGCAGCTCTCCACCAGGCTTTCTAGACCATTCACATGCACCAGGGGCTCAATGCCAAAATAGAGGGAGTCTCGAAGCTTGAGGGTGGGCAAAGCTTCCCGATAAGGCTCTTCAAATTCATTGTCCTTGAAGATCTCCAGAGTGAAGGGGAAGGTTCCATGGCTACGGCTCCTGATCTCCAGTGGGGTATTGCGAAGGTTGGGAACATATCCCTCAGAGATGGTGTACAGGCGCGGAAACTCACAGGTCACTGGGATCAGCAGTTTGCTGGTTCGGATGATGATATCCCCACTGCTCCCTGGGGTCTGCTTGGGGAGACCTGTCACAAGGTTGCTGGCCACAATCTTGTCATTCACCACCTGAGTCAGGCCAGCATCAGGAGAGGAAAAAGGCTTTATGTTTATTTCTACAGTTTTCCCACCCCTCCTGACCATAACTTTCTCCAAATTTCTATTTATATCAAAATACATTAGAGATTTGGTTGCTGAAGCCTGAAGTTTGTTTTTTTTTAATTGCTTCTCCTCTTTGAAGCAAGATGTTCTTTCTGACTGTTGAAAGTTTCAGATGCTACTTCATGGTCAGCCCACACATCCCTGTCTAGCGTTACTCCTACAACTATGCAGAATCAGCAAATTCAAAGCTCTAATATTTTAGAAAAGAACAGCTTCTGCATATCATTTTTTCTGGAATCTTAGACCTGGTGATCATGCTGTAGCATGACCTTGTGCTGAACTTATCCTCATGCAAAGCTTCAGCCATCACATTTATGCAGATGTTTTCAGTTCTTTATCTCCAGCTTTGTCTGCTCTCCCATGTATCAGAAACTGACTCACCACAGAGCATTCCCGTTTGATTATCCATAGATACAATAAGCACCATTTGCCAGAAGTGGGACCACCTTCTTTTGGTATATCTCCCCATGTCTCACCCAAGTCTAATGAGCTCTCTGATTTTCTCTTAGTTGGATTCAATAAATATTTGTTTAATCAAATGGTCTTAAGGGCCTCTGCCCTGATCTCCTGGATCCAGGTCCTCTTTTCCCTATCCATCTTGCACCCTTCTGATTTCATCACAACATGACTTGCTTAACCCCATTCCTATGGGATACAGCCCAAATGTCTCTAGCATACAAGACAAATCCTTGGAAGCACAGTCTCCCCATCTCTGCTTTTCCAGTTTTCTTTTCCAGTGAATTCTTTGCCAGTCAGTCTGTGTTACCCATTCACTCAGCATAAGCCTTAAGTATTCCCATCTCTGAGACTTGTTCATTGTTTCTCATCTGAAATGCCCATTCTTTTCCTTTTCACCTATAAAAACCACACGCATGCTTCCACCCCAACACAGTTCTACTTGTCTTGATTGCTCCAGATTTGTCCCTTTCTGGACTCCTACAGCACCTGTCATCGGTATCACCATCTCTTATTTATATTTTGTGTGTGTGGTCATCTCAATACTACTGTGTACATTCCTGAAAGTCAGGAATGTTAGTTCACATCTCTCTCTCTGGGCTCCTTAGTGCAGGGTTGTGCATAGATTCTTGTATGAACTTGAACTCATTTACTACCTCATAAATGAACCATCATCTATGTCACTGGCTTTCTTCCAGTAAACAATTGGTCAGAGGGGATGCAGTCCACCTCTCAGTACTGGTGCTAGTACACTCAGGAAAATGTCTGCACATATTGGAGAGATGGGATGATTGGAGAACAGAAATAGCATAATTCTTAAATCCCTGTTCTCACAGTGCCAGGACTGTCACAGGTGCTCAATAACACCTTTGTTAAATGAATGGCATGTGATTTTTTTTTTTAGCTCCATTCTTTCATGTGGAAATACTCCATCTATGACACAAGCCAGACCACATACCTATGTCAACTACCTCCCAAATAACCGGCTTTCGGTCATTGCCCACCCAAGTGTCCTCCAGGAAGAAACCTACATCAACCACTGTGCCACATGTCTTGAGGGAGAAGAGGATGTTGACGTGGGTGCCATTGGACACTCCTCGGCAGGATGTGTTGGTTAGGAAGAGCTCCAGGCCGCCAACCAGGTCTCTGGGGATGCTCACTTCAATGGTGTCTGACTTACACAACACAGGGACTGTGGTGGAAAGAGGCTCCTGTTAGAACTGGGAAGCCTGAATTGAGAGAAGAGTAAGGAAGGCTTCTAGGAGAAATAATTTCACCTTCACATAAATTGAGCTGTTGTTCTATCCTCAAGGAAATCTATGAAGCTTGAAACACAGTTGGTGAGTAAAACCAGAACTCCTACCTTCCAAGGTTATGGACAAGTAATGCTCCTCAAAAACACTGCTCCCCAAATGAGGAAATACTGTGTTCAAGTTTCAGTCCACCAAACATTTATTTCTAAGTGTGGCTAGCATGACTCATGCATTAAAACACCTAAAGGATTAACTTTTAGCACAACAACAATTTATTGGCAATTCAGAAAAACTATAACTTTGATAGAGGCTTAAAATACATAACAATACTGCTTTGACTTTACCATTAATTACTGCCCTATATAACAGAGGTAATAAAAACAGTGTTAATGCACTTGGGAAAGAGTTCCAAATTGTCCTTGCATTGCTCAGTGAACCATAAACACTGACTATTAATTATTCTTTAACTTAAATTTAGAAGAATAACTTTTCCTTACCATTCCTCTGTTCACTTCTCCAGACTCTACAAATACCCTAAATGGAATGGTTATGGCTGCTGTCAGAAAATATGTGAGGTCGATATCAATATGTCAGGGCATATCATAACAATGGCATAGTATAAAGAAGTCAGAGATGGGTGCTCATTAAATATTTGCTGGATGAAAGAATTAATATTCTGGACATAAATAAATAGATTTCTGGGAAATAATTCTCAGAGGATTGTTGTGCTTNTATCTTCGTTCTTCACATCAAGGTCTGGGAATACATCCACTCCCATGCATTTTTGGGTAAAATAAAGCTCTTTCTCGAAGCTTCTTCCTGTAAGTAACTTCTGAAAGCATACTGACTAGTTGAGGAAAGATTAGTCGTCACAGTTGGCGATTGTTCTGAACAGTGATGTAGCTGGAGAGGACGCAATATGCTTAAATGCAGTGTGGAAAAGTTGTTGGTCTCTTAAACTTCCTTTTGTTTAAATGTTTCAATGACTCTTTTAAAACAAAAAGCAAAAACCTTCTACCTTAATGTACTGTATATAGCTTTTTATAGCCTCTATGTATGTATGTATGGTTTTTAAAAATGTAGCATATTCGGTATACTTGTAAATTATTATGACAACAGTTTTTTCATATCTTTTTCTATATTTATTTTAATAACAGCTTAATATTGCATTAACTGATACACTGTACCCTGTTTGTTTGGGGGCTTCATTTTGCTCCCCTTATAACAATGCTCTATAAACATGCCCGGCAAATCTTGTTTTTCTTTGCTTGTTGGTTTTTGAGAAACTGTCAGAATTGGAATTTTTAGATAAAAGAATATGTTTATTTTATGGTTATTATTACATATTTATCAGACAACTTTCCAGAAAATGTACCCATTTATACTGCTACCATGTAACTCCCTATAGCTGTGCAGTGTTGATTTATAATTTTTATAAATTAATATGTATAAAACCGTGCCTTATAATTGGCATTTTAAGTACTATTTTCACTGAATATTTCACTATATGTCTTTTATGTGATTTCCTGTCCAAATCCTTTGCTATGTGACCACCATAAAGAGGCTTTTTCAACCATAACTGCAAACAAGGATTTATAATTATGATCATACAGTATTTTCTTCGAACAAGCACAGTTATTTTATTTGCAGGAGCAGGTAACTATGATATTCATAAAGGTGTTAAACTCTAGATGATCAGTTTTACAATATTTTTTGTAGAGGTAATAAAGATCCTAATTGTCGGCTAGTAGAATGTCAACAAATTGGGACATGAAGAAAGAAGGCTCAGGTCTGGGTGGGGATGAGGGTATACAAAGTAGAATTGCTCAGCTTACCTTGTGGTCTTTGCCCACAAACTTGAAGACAGGGACCTGGAAGTGCTTTGCCAGGTGATCCCGTGATGTGTACTGCTTTACTGAGTCATCTGAAACACAGCTACAGGACAGGAAAGCACATAAGCCTTGATTGTTTTAACAGAGGTGGAAAAACAATCCAGCCCAGCATGTTTGGTCCAAGGAGAGGCAAACTGGGTGGAGGAGGCTGTGCTGCATGCAAGCTTTTTGAGAATGAAAGAAAAATTAAATTCCCTCTTCTGTGAAGGTATTTTCAGACATAGCCCTGCTTGTTAGTGCTGTCTCTCATTCTTTGTACTCAGGAGCAGGACACAAGGCCCTCCTGCTAAGTCAGTGCATTGATGTATTAGTGATTGCAACAACAGTGATTTCAAGGGTAACTTCTGAAATAAAGGCATCTTTATAAGGCTGTATTTTCATTTGTATTATACTGCATGAATTCTGCATTCACATACTTTATTACTGGTTTGAGAAGGCTTTTCTTTTTTTTCTTTTGGTATCGTTAATGTACAATTACTTGAACAACATTATGGTTACTAGGCTCCCCCTATGATCAAGTCCTCATGATATACCCCATTACAGTCACTGTCCATCAGTGTAGTAAGATGCTGTAGAATTATTGCTTGTCTTCTCTGTGTATACTGTGAGAAGGCTTTTCTTTAACTAGATGTCATAAATATTTATTGGATACCTGATAGATGCTAATCCCTGAAGGGGATTCAGAGGTGAGCAAACCCCAATTTGTGTATCAAAGAGCTGCATAAAAATCTGTTTCTTAGAGAATACACAGTTCTGTTGGAGAAAAGTCATTCACTTCCAAATTGTTTTAATTCCTCTTTTCCCAAATTTAATGCTAAATTGTAGTTTGATGGGGTTTTGGGCTTTACTCAGATCTACTACTACTTAAAGTGAAACTTCTAGGCTCCAGGGTTTTCTGGGGAAAAGAAGGGTTAACTGATTCTCCATTTTGAGGTCAAGGTTTAGTATTGATGATTCTTCTCCATTTGTATTACCTTTTCAATTTGAATTTTAAAGGAACTTTTAAAATCTGAGTATATATTCCTTTTTATGGATACCTAATAGTTCCTACCATGACAGGAAAAAAAATGGGATCAGATACAAAAGCCTATGGAACTGGATATTTGCTTCCCATTCTTATAGTCCATTTTCTAATTCATTTTTAATTGCTGTTCCAGCACAGTTGGAAATAGAATAAAGTTGTTTAAAAATAAGACATCTTAACCTGTTATTAGTACCTATTCCCTTGAACTGAAGAGGATCTAAACATATAATGTGGTTTCTGTTATTTCTTATATTTATGTATTCATTTTCATTTTCCTGAGGTAAAATTAATTTATACCATCTTCTGATTATGTTCTACAATAGATACCTGTTGCATATCTAATCTGTACAGCACATTCTGCTGAGTGCTGCAGAGGATATAAAGATGAATAATATGGTCTGTGAGGTCAAGGAGTTTATAGAACAGTATCTATGATATAGTAACACAACATTAAAATAGCACTTTTCATCTAAGTGCCTCAAAATGTTCGATTTATCTTTACCTAAAAATACTGTAATTTTTCTTTAAAATGGAATGAGGCAGAAAGAGTTGTTCTGTTCCAGATTTAACATATTCCACATTAAAACCCAGTACAAATCTGCTATTTGGTTTGGCATTTGCTGTGATTAGACAATGCTAGTTTGTCAACTCCAAGTTCATGAGCTAAAAGAAAGTAATGATGTATGGTATAGGATATACCCATATAGGATATACCCACTGGGTATAGGATAACCCCAAATAATTGATTACTCAAAACTTGTCCAAAATTTGATTTTGAAATTTAATGTCTTGTTTCTGGAGATTAACTTTCTAAATCTACTTTGCTTAGACTTGTGTTAAATTATTTTGCATTCTCAGATCATATGTTAACTAAAACTAGGGAGGTGAATCAAATATGTTTAAGTATCAGGGGAAACCAGGCTGATCTAAATTTAAACAGAGGACAATGAATAATCAAATGATTTATAAACACATAAGTAAACTGCATTATGTTTATTTTAGGGCTCTGGGCTAGCCCCAAAGTACTATTATGATAAATCTTCACTCAGTAATTCATTTGGAAAATATTTAATGACGCTTATTATAAACTAGGTGTAGAGGAGGAAGAAGGAAGGAATGTTTCTAGTTCAGGTCAGAAGGAATCAGGGAAGGCTTCATGGAGGAAAGAAATCTTTCTGACAGACTCGTAAGAATCAAACAGGAAGAAAAGGACAAGTAGTTTTCAGGCAGAGGATGAGCAAATGCAGAGTCAGGAGGGCATAAGGAACAGCAGAGCTTGGGAATTACGTGTCATTCTCTTTGGTAGAAGCAGAAACTGGAGAAGGTAGGGGTCAAAGAGTGAGGCACAGTGAACCAATCTGAGAACTGGATTTTATCTTAAGAGATTATCTCACTTACATTGTTATTATACTATCTATTACTGTACCAGAGATGGGACTATTTGCCTCTTCACTAAATAGGCCTACATTGCCCTGTTTTTAAGTTTTTGCCTCTGCTTTTTAAGCATTTTAATTTCTTCTGCAGCTTTTTTTTCCTATTTTGTATGTGCCAAGACTGGAAAATTAAACAGCACATCCTCTTAGAACTGAAATAAAAAATACACAGTCCCGCTGCTCCCTCTCTCTCTCTGTCTCTCTGTCCCGCTGCTCTCTCTGCCCTCTCTGTCTCTCTGTCTCGCTGCTCCCTCTCTCTCTCTCTTTCGGTCTCTCTCTCCCCCGCCCCCCACCCCTCTGGGGCAGCCACTTTCTCTTTCAGATAATAAAATCTCTTGCGTGGGGAAAAAAAAATACATAGTCCTTAGTTAAGGGTCCAAATAATAAATATATAAATAATCTTATTGAGATCGAAGGTTATATGTTTTCCTAGTAAGTAAGTTATGATTATACATTTATTTTGTGGAAAGTAAATACAAGAGGCAGGAGAAAACTCTTGTAAGAGAACTGTTTGCTAAACTGTACATTTTAAATATGTGTATTACTGTATGCAAATAGTATGCCAATAAGCTGTAAAAAATATTAAAAAGGGACCAAAATCCACTCTCCATAAAAAAGTAAATCCATTTTCTAATCTATTTAACATCAAATATGTGACTGAAAGAAAGAAATAAAAAATGATGCTACCACTTTCATTTTAAAACATTGTGGGGATCACTTTAAGATGACAAGAAATCCAAAGGTTACAGACGCCTATGAGACCCGCTACTGGCCATCCAAAGCAGCTGAGAATAATTCATTTTCCATATTCTGAAAACAAACTAAGGAGGCCACAGAAATCTGAGGCTAGAAATACTCCTGCTGGTAAACGGTTAAATTTATCAACCAAAGGAAATCAAGAGCCATCAAACAGTTTTCATCAGGGTCCTGACATACACACATTTTCCTTTTGACTGGAGCTGAAATCTGAGAGCTGGGATTTAGGAGGCTACATTAGGAGGCTGTTTTAGCTGTCCAGGTGAAAGATAATGGCTGGAATTAAGACAATAAGAGTGGAATAGAGTGAATTAGACTAGGATATTGCTACTTTTAAAAAAGCTTCTCAGTTGATCTCAGTTGATGATCAAGAGTTGAAAATCACTGCAGGAGATTTATAGCGTCAGGTGAAGGTTGCCTGTGGTGAGAGATCTGGTGAGATAAAAAATAAAAGCAAAGTAGAAATTTAAAGAGTGTCAGGCTAGTTAGCAAAGGGCATGAACCTGAGGTTCACCTGTGATGCTCTTACTAGACCAGTTCCCTTTTATAAAGCTGCAGGTCCTGACCTTACCTGAAATGTGTCCCAGCCGACTTTGAGAATAAGGGAGAAACTGATGAAATGCTGTTTGGGGTGTGAGCATAATTTTCCTGGAATGTAAGCAATGGGTATGATAATCTCCAGACTCCCAAAGATACCATGAGGCACTTGAGGCACACTTAGTTCTCGGACCCAGGATCCTTAGGAAGTATGGAAATCTTGTGTGTATAAAACAAGCAAATGAAAACAAACTTCACTTCATCTTTCTTTTCCTAAAACCTACCAAGTATTTTTTCTCTCTCTTTTACTATCAAACTTCTTCAAAGAGGCATCTACATTTGTTGCTTTCATGTCCTCATCCCCTTGGACTTTTCAGCCCCTACCTGGCACTCATGCTGTACCCTCTTCCTGGCAGATTAATCGATCCTGTTCTCTGTCCTTTATCTCTAGTCCTTGGTCTGATATGCATTTCCAACTGCCCACTGAATTTCTCTTGCTGTGTATCCTGCAGACATTTACAATTCAGTATTATTATTTGGAATTATCATATTCAGTATTTTCACCTCAAGTCTGCTTTTCTACATATATCCTCTCATCTTGGTTAATGGCATCTAGTCAGTCATCCGAGCTAGACCCGTTGGAGTCATTTTTGACTCCCCTCTTCTCCTTCCCCAGTTCTTACATGCAAAACACCAATAAATGGTTTCTGAACTAGTTAAGAGCTCAGAAGAGTGCCATGTCATTTTAGGAAATGATTACATATGCTTTTGTACTTAGAGCTTGGTTGTGAACTGGGGAGAACAAATCACGTAAGGAGCATAGTTACCCATCCCGGATGAGGTAGTACTTCAGGATCTCATCGATCTTGGAAGTGGGGGTGGCAAAGCAGCTCTCCACCAGGCTTTCTAGACCATTCACATGCACCAGGGGCTCAATGCCAAAATAGAGGGAGTCTCGAAGCTTGAGGGTGGGCAAAGCTTCCCGATAAGGCTCTTCAAATTCATTGTCCTTGAAGATCTCCAGAGTGAAGGGGAAGGTTCCATGGCTACGGCTCCTGATCTCCAGTGGGGTATTGCGAAGGTTGGGAACATATCCCTCAGAGATGGTGTACAGGCGCGGAAACTCACAGGTCACTGGGATCAGCAGTTTGCTGGTTCGGATGATGATATCCCCACTGCTCCCTGGGGTCTGCTTGGGGAGACCTGTCACAAGGTTGCTGGCCACAATCTTGTCATTCACCACCTGAGTCAGGCCAGCATCAGGAGAGGAAAAAGGCTTTATGTTTATTTCTACAGTTTTCCCACCCCTCCTGACCATAACTTTCTCCAAATTTCTATTTATATCAAAATACATTAGAGATTTGGTTGCTGAAGCCTGAAGTTTGTTTTTTTTTAATTGCTTCTCCTCTTTGAAGCAAGATGTTCTTTCTGACTGTTGAAAGTTTCAGATGCTACTTCATGGTCAGCCCACACATCCCTGTCTAGCGTTACTCCTACAACTATGCAGAATCAGCAAATTCAAAGCTCTAATATTTTAGAAAAGAACAGCTTCTGCATATCATTTTTTCTGGAATCTTAGACCTGGTGATCATGCTGTAGCATGACCTTGTGCTGAACTTATCCTCATGCAAAGCTTCAGCCATCACATTTATGCAGATGTTTTCAGTTCTTTATCTCCAGCTTTGTCTGCTCTCCCATGTATCAGAAACTGACTCACCACAGAGCATTCCCGTTTGATTATCCATAGATACAATAAGCACCATTTGCCAGAAGTGGGACCACCTTCTTTTGGTATATCTCCCCATGTCTCACCCAAGTCTAATGAGCTCTCTGATTTTCTCTTAGTTGGATTCAATAAATATTTGTTTAATCAAATGGTCTTAAGGGCCTCTGCCCTGATCTCCTGGATCCAGGTCCTCTTTTCCCTATCCATCTTGCACCCTTCTGATTTCATCACAACATGACTTGCTTAACCCCATTCCTATGGGATACAGCCCAAATGTCTCTAGCATACAAGACAAATCCTTGGAAGCACAGTCTCCCCATCTCTGCTTTTCCAGTTTTCTTTTCCAGTGAATTCTTTGCCAGTCAGTCTGTGTTACCCATTCACTCAGCATAAGCCTTAAGTATTCCCATCTCTGAGACTTGTTCATTGTTTCTCATCTGAAATGCCCATTCTTTTCCTTTTCACCTATAAAAACCACACGCATGCTTCCACCCCAACACAGTTCTACTTGTCTTGATTGCTCCAGATTTGTCCCTTTCTGGACTCCTACAGCACCTGTCATCGGTATCACCATCTCTTATTTATATTTTGTGTGTGTGGTCATCTCAATACTACTGTGTACATTCCTGAAAGTCAGGAATGTTAGTTCACATCTCTCTCTCTGGGCTCCTTAGTGCAGGGTTGTGCATAGATTCTTGTATGAACTTGAACTCATTTACTACCTCATAAATGAACCATCATCTATGTCACTGGCTTTCTTCCAGTAAACAATTGGTCAGAGGGGATGCAGTCCACCTCTCAGTACTGGTGCTAGTACACTCAGGAAAATGTCTGCACATATTGGAGAGATGGGATGATTGGAGAACAGAAATAGCATAATTCTTAAATCCCTGTTCTCACAGTGCCAGGACTGTCACAGGTGCTCAATAACACCTTTGTTAAATGAATGGCATGTGATTTTTTTTTTTAGCTCCATTCTTTCATGTGGAAATACTCCATCTATGACACAAGCCAGACCACATACCTATGTCAACTACCTCCCAAATAACCGGCTTTCGGTCATTGCCCACCCAAGTGTCCTCCAGGAAGAAACCTACATCAACCACTGTGCCACATGTCTTGAGGGAGAAGAGGATGTTGACGTGGGTGCCATTGGACACTCCTCGGCAGGATGTGTTGGTTAGGAAGAGCTCCAGGCCGCCAACCAGGTCTCTGGGGATGCTCACTTCAATGGTGTCTGACTTACACAACACAGGGACTGTGGTGGAAAGAGGCTCCTGTTAGAACTGGGAAGCCTGAATTGAGAGAAGAGTAAGGAAGGCTTCTAGGAGAAATAATTTCACCTTCACATAAATTGAGCTGTTGTTCTATCCTCAAGGAAATCTATGAAGCTTGAAACACAGTTGGTGAGTAAAACCAGAACTCCTACCTTCCAAGGTTATGGACAAGTAATGCTCCTCAAAAACACTGCTCCCCAAATGAGGAAATACTGTGTTCAAGTTTCAGTCCACCAAACATTTATTTCTAAGTGTGGCTAGCATGACTCATGCATTAAAACACCTAAAGGATTAACTTTTAGCACAACAACAATTTATTGGCAATTCAGAAAAACTATAACTTTGATAGAGGCTTAAAATACATAACAATACTGCTTTGACTTTACCATTAATTACTGCCCTATATAACAGAGGTAATAAAAACAGTGTTAATGCACTTGGGAAAGAGTTCCAAATTGTCCTTGCATTGCTCAGTGAACCATAAACACTGACTATTAATTATTCTTTAACTTAAATTTAGAAGAATAACTTTTCCTTACCATTCCTCTGTTCACTTCTCCAGACTCTACAAATACCCTAAATGGAATGGTTATGGCTGCTGTCAGAAAATATGTGAGGTCGATATCAATATGTGAGGGCATATCATAACAATGGCATAGTATAAAGAAGTCAGAGATGGGTGCTCATTAAATATTTGCTGGATGAAAGAATTAATATTCTGGACATAAATAAATAGATTTCTGGGAAATAATTCTCAGAGGATTGTTGTGCTTATGTTTTAAGTGTAGGGAGAATAGTTCCCTACGACTTTCCACTTAAGTTTCACAACTCAATTATCTGTTAGCAAAGAAATGAACTGCATCAGTGTCTTAGAGCTCTAAATTTAGTGTTAACTGTACAACTAATAATAGTCATTAGAGAAAATGTCAGAGGTAAAAAGCAAAAGGAATCCATATGACCCAGTAATCCCATTTCTGCATATATACCCAAAAGAACTGCGAGCAGGATTTCCACAAGATACCTGCCCACCCACGTTCACAGCAGCATATTCACAATGGTCAAGACATGGAAGCAACCCAAATGTCCATCAGCAGATGATTGGATGAACAAAATGTGGTACATACATAAAATGGAATATTATTCAGCTTTATAAACAAAGGAAGGAAATCCTGTCACATGCTACAATATGGATGAACCTGTGGACATTATGCTAAGTGGAATAAGTCAGTCACAAAAAGACAAATAGTGTATGAGTTCACTTACCTGAGATATCTAAAGTAGTTACTTCATAGAAATATAAAGTAGAATGGTGGCTGCCGGGGGCTGGGGAGGAATGGGGAGTTGTTTAATGGGTGTAGAGTTTCAGTTTTGCAAGATGAAAAAGCTCTGGAGATTGGTTGCACAACAATATGAATATACTTAATTCTATTGAAATATATATTTAAATTTGGTTTAGGTGGTAAATTTTTCTGATATGTATTTTTTTTACCACAATTTTTAAAAAGTGAAGGAAAATTAGCTTTCGGTCATCTTAGAGATCTTCCCTTTGAATGATTCCAGAGTGAAGAGATAGGAATGCACATTGCTGAAAGAGCTGGTGTTCTAAACCATGAGAATCTTGACACACTGAGTGAGGATGGCAGGGAGGTTTGCTGGGGAGGAAGTCAGAGCAGGGGTCAAGTCCATCCATGTCCTACCTTGGCAAGTGTGGTTATCCTCAGACAGCACCAAGCCCCGGGGACATTCACAATGATAGCCGTTCTCAGACCCAAGGCAAGAATGGCTGCAGCCGCCATTGTCATTGTGGCATCCTTCAATGTCTGCAATAAAAACCAAAAGAAAACCTTGTACCCTTCTTCCCCAAGAATTCTGGTTCTTGGGGTGACACTTTGCATTAGGGATTATGCTTGACTCATAACAGAATCCTTGGAGCCTACCCTAGTCACTGAGACATGCAGAGAAGCCCCCCAGCGCCCCCCCCCCAATTAAATGTTATAGCTACAAAGAGCAATCTTATAACATCCACAGTTTTATCCACTTAAGCTGGTTATCTTGTAGAATGCCCATCATTCTGGGTCTGTCTGTTTTTCTCATAGTTGGACTATGATTTTGGGTAGGAAGACCCAAAAGTCATCTCCTAATTGCTGTGACATTTAATCCATCCAATTTGAAATTTTACAGAATATTATTGATGTAAAAGGGACTGTCAGAATTCAATTGGTCCAGCTACCTGGATCAGAGTTACTGCTATTTGGTTGGATCATGATCCCCTCTCCTCAAATCTCTAGGAATAACAGCTCTGGGGATGTGTGCTTTCAGCAGACAGCACACTATTAGAATGAGGCTTGGACAACACACTTGGAGAGTCCACTCAACCAAGCTCTTTGTGACATTCCTCTTATGAGGCAATTTTTTAAAGTTTCCTTTTTAAAAGTTTTGCATTTTTGAAAAGCATAGTCAATCAAATGGACAAAGAGGAAAAATATTCTATTGAAAACTGAAGAAACTATCATGTGATTTCACTGTTAGCAGAGGAAAAATAATGACCTTTGTGGGTTTTGGACTTTATCTTCTATGTCAAGGGTCACCAAACTCTGGCCTACTACATGTTGTTGTAAATAACGTTTTATTGGCACACAGTCATACCCATTCACTTACCTATTATCTATGAATGCTTTCTTACCCCAAGCAGAGTTGAGTAGTTTTAACAGACCATGTATAATCATGAGCCTAAATACCTACTATTTGGCCTGTATACAATACACTTGCTGACCCCTGGTCTAGGGTAAAATAATAAAAGAGGATGCTTTCAAATCATCTAAGATGTTCAAGGAAAGCTATGAGCTGATTTCCCGTTACAGCTATAACTCTCAGTTCAATAATGGTAAAAAAATTAGTTCATTGGCATATCCATAAAGTAACTTTGGATGAATAGATTTTTATGAAATGTATAGGAAGAATAAATTTGCAATGAATTAATCTTTGTAAAACTTCAGAGAGATTAGTTTATCATCTGTTTATAAATCTGTATAATTAAAAAGGATAAAAGCACTCCTCTGAGTTTTTGAAATAGCTGGAAATAAGATTTAACAGTGTAGAAGAAAACATAAAATATACTATGGGATGTTAAAATCAGCATTAATAGGAATTTTTACTTCTTAAAAATGATTTTCCTTAAGTTATTTAATTTCTCTGGTTCTCAATTTCAATATTTATAAAATGAAGGGGTTGGACTAAATGTTCTCTCAGGATATTTCCAGGTATAAAACTGCAAAGTACAAAATGAATTGAAATTCTAAATTGGCTTAAAGGATCTAAGCCTCTTATGAGGATATAGCAAAATGTTCAGAATGGATATTCTGGCAAGTAGGATTATGAGTCATTAAGTTATCTTTCTTTCACTCCTCTGTATTTTCTTCTATGAACATAACTCTTTCATTATCAAACAGAACAATAAACATTACTTAAAAATTAAAAAGAGCTTTTTATTTTAAGGAAGAAGTTATAATTAACAGACTAGCTAAAGAAACAAATTTGTTTGGACTATCATTAATTCTTAAGGGTATCAAAGATCAGTCTTAATCCTAAAGTGTAACCCATACAAATTTTATCATCTGCTAAAATACTTTTCAGTCACGATTATTAGGTTTTAAAATTATATGAGCATAAACTGCAATATTTCTGATAAAGTGCTCATGAATAATTATAAATGTTCTTCATGGAACATTTCATTCATATTCAAATATGCAAAGATTATTGCATAAAATGATTAAGATTTAAGGATGATTCAGGACATTACCCTCATTCGATAAAATTTAAAGTACATTTAGTCATGTTATAAGGCACAGTAGTTTAATATTCTGGTTAATAGTCTCTGGTTAATAGTTAATAACATAAACTTTGTTGTGTGGGATGAACTGTGGGCACTAGCCATACTTTTTCTTTTTGGAGTAGTATTTTATTATTGTGAATATAACGAGGACAAAATGAACTCCTATAAGCAGTATTATAGTCTATCATGCCACAAATTCAATTATCCCCCGGGACAAATCATATGTCCTCTGTAAATAATAGTAACTAAGCCACTTATCTCTTTATATAATTTTGCAGAAATTTCTTTTTGTCCCTCAACTCCCAATGTTACAAGATTCTGACTTATTAGAGTGGAAGTGATAAAACTGTAGCTGTGATAATTTGTAGGGCAGATGTGTCTTAGAGAAGGGAAATTATCTGTTTCATATTACAATAGTAGACAATTCCCATTTCATTTATTTGACATTACAAATTCTTTTTTCTTAATCATATAAAATATATATAGCATTTCTATTATTAAAAATAGAGTACTTATCTCCAAAAAATATATTAATCTCCAATAAGTGCAAAGCATATAGGGAAAAAAATAGCTTCATATAACCAGGTTCCCAAACTTCTAAGATTGTAAAAATCCCTATGGAACTTGGTGAGAACACAAATGTGAGGACCCATTGCAGTCCCCTGAACCAGTCTCCAGGAGAGAGGGCTAGGTTTAAAAGAACCCAGGTGATTCTCCTCAGCAGGGAAATTTGAGAAACACTGCTGTAAGTCATTTGTTACGCCATCGTCCTCTACTGTCCTGTCACTCAAGCTGTGTTCCTTGGATTGACAGCATAGGGGTCACCTAGAAGCTATTTAGAAATGCAGTATCTTTGCCTGACTCAGACCTACTGAGTTAGAATCTGCATTTTAACAAGATCACAGGTGATTTGTGGGCACATTAAAGTTTGAGAAATACAGAATACCCTATTTTTATTTACCAAATTAAAATGTGACTCTCTGCCTATTGCAAAATCCAACAACTCCCTCCTGTTAAATCTTGGAGATAAAATCAACTTTGAATTCTGTCTGCAATACAAACATCCTCAGTGATGATGAACCCCTCTTGTCATTTCTTTATGCAGCCAAATGGTTATTCTCTACTAACATCGGGCATTTTCATGAACATCAAAGAACAAGCCATGGCTTGGTCTGGGCTCTTGATTTGAATCCCTCCTTACCCATACCCACCTTCACATGTCTTGCCATCACTTCTTAGCACACGACCAACCCCACACTCACAGCGATGTGAATTTTTGAGGTTTATGCAGATCTCACTGCAGCCACCATTGTTTTGCTCACATTCATTTTCATCTGCAGAAGAAAAACTACACCATTTACATACTGCTGAGCAACTTAATTTTTCAATATAACCACTTCTATCAACCTGATCTCCTCAACCAAGTTGTTTGTCCAGCAGGAGTGGAATGCACATAGGAGCTTGCCAATTCCCTCCTAAGGGCAAAACTGTGGTAAGTGAAGTTCCTCTTCTTATATTGGTTCACTTATTGTGTATTGGTGAATCTCACGTTCTCCAATGAGTTCCTGAAGATTTAACTAAGTAAATACAAACTTATAAATCAAACTGTATTTTAAGTGCATTAAAGGAACTTAACATTGCAGTATGAAATAAATGATAAGGTTTTTGTGAGGCAGTCTTCTGTTATAACATGTTTTAAACATTGGAATATTCCCACCTTATGCTTAACAATGATTGTTAACCTTTTCAAAAATCTGATGAAAGATATGGACTCTTGCTTTAAAATAACGCATAATTGGCAATAAATATCCATGCCCTTCCTTCTATAAACAAAGAAAGGGAGACCTGGGAAGTAAATTGGTTTGGATATAGGACATAAGCCAGGGATTGAGGATTAAACACCCACAGGTGACAGAAGGCATGGCCTTGGGCACAGGAAAGAGATGAGCTGGCACTGAAATGAGCTGGTCCTGCTTCAGTCCAGGACCTGGGAAGAGGTAGGCCCACAATGAAAGCAGAAGTAGTAGAACTTTGCTCCAAGGCTCAGGGAAGCAGTAAGGAAGCTCTCTGCCTGAGGCTCCAAGAGAGAGAAAAGCCTTCACAAATGACGGAAACCCTAATTTGGGCCCTGCCATGATTGAAATATGAACTTATATTAATTCCTGTGTGGCTTGGGGATTTCAAAGTTGAGAAATTGATGAGAAATATGGCTTGGACTGATGAAGCTTCCAGGATGACTGACAAGCATTTGAAAAACTGCTCTGTAGTAAAACTTCCATAAATTAGGTGATAAGAATGGCACTTAATAGAAATCCATTACAATAGAAGATGGTTTGCCATAAAACACCACATGTGAGGAAATGATCCACCATGAGAAAGAGCTGGCAAGGTAATGAATAGGAGCTTTGAACTCAAGATAAGAGAATGATCTAGAAAAATCCATAATACAAGGATTAAAAAACTCCTAAGCAGTAAAATAAAAAGACAGTAACCAAAATAAAATAAATGTGTAAAAAGATAAGACAGAATTGAAACCAAACAAACATGCTTGTAGAAATGAAAAATATAGTAAGATTAAAATCTTCATCAGGGCCCCTACTGCTTGGAGAGTGATCAGAGGTGCTAGCAGCCTTCCTGGGTGTGACCACACCAGGGTCTGCGCCCAAGTCTCTGTCTAAAACTTGGACTGATTACCTTGCAACAGTTTAAAAAAAAAATTTTTTTTTTATGAGGGAGAAATACACTTCTACTTATTTAAGCCATTGTTATTTGGGGGTTTATTATAATTTACACCTTGACTTAGATACTCTATACCCCAGCAATTCCACTTTTATGAGTATACTGTAGGGAAAATCTTACATTTGGGGTAAGCTACCATTTTTACGTTAATTTAAGAACACGCAAAAAAATGCGATATATTGTTGTGGGTACATACATGAATAACAAAGGCATAAAAACAAGGACCAGAAGACCATAACTTCAAAGCAGTGATTACTCCTGGAGGGTGAGAGAGGAGAATGAGATAGATGGCTTTACCTTGTATCTGTAAAATTTTATTTAAGGAAAAGGAAGAAAAATTAACTTAGTGAAATCTGGGTACATGAATGTTATATTATTTCTTATGCTCTTCTCTCTACCTAAAAAGAATTACATAATTTAAAGTAAATAATTAAAATTCTGTTACATTAAAAGAAAGCTAAAAGAAAAGTGACACCTGAACATAAACACAAAATTTTGCTTCCAATTTCAGGGAATTCATGATCTTCCTAAAACGGATAGACCCCAGGTAGGAACTGTGGGCTTTTCTTTATGTACTGATAGGCAAATATGTCCAAGAAAAATTGTTAAGCAAGAGATATGTGTGGCGTGTATGATATATGACCTGTGGTATAAAAAGGCAATAGATAAACATATATTTGCATTTTTATATCTGCTTGAAGAAACCCTGGAAGTCTATGTAAGAAAATAATATGAGTTTACTTGGAGAAGGGCAAAATGGAACAAATGGGACAGAGAGCTAGACATTTCATGCTGTTTAATTTGGGAACCATTTAAGTATATTACTTATTTGAAAATTGTATTGAAACAAAAGCAGAGAAATTAATGAAAAACTCCTGCCTTATAGTGAAGCCAAATATTTCCCAATGGACACGTGTATGTGTATGTCAGGGGCAGGAGATTATAGGAGCCATGGTCTCCTATAACCCAAATCTTTTATCATTAAATCACATAGTCAAAATCAAACATACAAGAGCCCAATAACTGATACAGAAGCCTAAACATGCTCGATAGGATGGTCAGTGAGGTTCATTACAGAGACTGAAGAACAAAAGCTCTTTTAAAATGAGAATCCTTTTTAAAGATCTGAATGTAAGTCATGAAACCATAAAACTCACAGAAGAAAACACAGGCAAAAAATCTCTTGAATATAAACATGAGCAACTTTTTCTTGGACACAATATCTTTGGGCAAGGGAAACAAAATAAAAAATGAACAAGTGGGACTACATCAAACTAAAAAGCTTTTCTACAGCAAAGGACACCATCAGCAGAACAAAAAGGCATCCTAAGTATGGGAGAATATATTCATAAATGATTCATATGATAAGGGGTAACATCCAAAATACATAAAGAACTCATATACCTTAACACCCAAAAAACAAATAACAATATGGGTGAAGTACCTGAAGAGATAATTCACCAAAGAAGAAATACAGATGGTCAACTGGCATGTGAAAAGATGCTCCACACTGCTTATTATCAGGGAAATGCAAATTAAAACTACAATGAGATATCACCTCACACCATTAGGATGAACAACTACCCAAAAGACAAATGCTGGTGAGGATGCGGAGAAATGGGAACCCTCCTATACTGTTGGTGGGAATGTAAATTGATGCAGCTGTTGTGGAAAGCAATATGGAGGTTCCTCAAAAAACTAAAAATAGAATGAATGGATAAAGAAGATTTGGTATATATACACAACAGAATACTACTCAGCCATAAAAAGAAAAGAAATCCTGCCATTTGCAACAACATGGATGGATCTAGAGGGTATTATGCTCATTGATAAGCCAAATATCAAATGATTTCACTTGATGAGACTCTCTCATGAACAAGAGTGTCCTCTGGTCCTTGCCCCTCATGAAAGGTCAATACCCTTATAGAGAGACAAATATCAAATGATTTCACTTATTTGTGGAGTATAAAAACACAGCAACACTGAAGGAACAAAACAATAGTAGACTCACAGATACCAAGAAAGAACAAGGGGGAGGGGCTGGGGATGGTAGGAGGGAAGGGGTAGGGGATAAAGGGGCACAATAATTTGCAATCACAATATAGGTTGGTCATGGGGTGGTAGTATAGGAGAATACAGTTAATGATTCTGTAATATCTTACTACATTGATAGATAGTGACTGCACTGGCGGGGGGTTTAATAATATGGGTAACTGCTGAAACATGGTGTTGTATATGTAAAACCAACATAAGATTGTATATCAATGATACTTTAATAATAAATAAATAAATAAATAAAATGAGAATTTTTTTATATCCCTTTTACCCTAATCCCCTGTCTCATTCTGACCTCCTTACTGTTCTTGAGGAGAAACATATGGGGCAGTTCTTCCCTTTTTCTCTGGACTTATTTTAAATAGGAGTCTGAATACAAAAAGCTTCATAACATCAAAGGCAAGAGATGATTTTCAGTCTTGTGTTTTTCAACTCTATTTTCTTCCAGTTACAGACAACAAAACATGTATACAATTAGGCGACCCTGGATTTCCTAAAAAATAATCTGATTGCCTTTCTTGCTCCTCAGAGAAACCAAAATTATATTAATGAAGCTGTAAGAGTATGTCCTTGGGTAATTCTGGACCAAAGCTATCCAACAGAAATAGAAAGCAAGTCACATATGTAATTTAAAATTTTTAATCTTGTAGTCACATTAAAACATTAAAAGACATTGGTAAGAGTAATTTAAATAATATATTTCATTTAATACAATAGGTCCAAAATATTTCATTTCAATATATAATCAATATTAAAATTATTGAGATATTTTTAATTCATTTTTGAGCTAGTATTCAAAATTTAGTATGTATCTTATACTTAAGTATGTCTCAATTTGATTGCTAAATTTTCATCTCAGAAATACTTAATCTGTATTTAAAGTCATAATTTACAGTTGGTTTCTCAAGTTGTCCCAGACATTTTCAGTTTTCCAGTGACTGAATCAAGTATCAGTGTTTAAATTAAAATTAAAATTCAGTTTTTCAGTCACACTAGCCACATTTCAAGAGCTCTGTTAGCCATACATGGCTAGCTAGAGGCTACTGTATTGGACAGTGCAATTCTAGACCATCCCCCAACATGACATAAATTTGGCTTGAGGCTTTACTTATGACCTAAAAAGGCAAACATCATTCCAAGTGTTCAGAGAACACAAACTGGAAAAACAATGGAGCGCTAAGAAAAAGTTTTTGACATATTCTTTTGGTCCTGATATTCTGTTTCTACTTCAAGATTAGTGTCTTACCAAAGCATGTCTGCCTGTCAGGGCCTAGCACGGTTCCTGGAGAGCATGTGCACTCGCGGGTATCCAAGCAGCTGCCGTGGCAGTCCTCATCGCAGATGTCATAAAAATCTATTTAAGGATAAAGAAGACCTTTCATGAGGGGCGAGGACCAGAGGACACTCTTGTTCATGAGAGAGAGTCTCATGAGTTCAGTCATAGGGTGTAAGTTCCTAGCCAACATCAAGAGAATTCTTATTGTTTGGGGTTTACATAACCCCATGGAAAGAGATATTGCCCAGGGACATCTTCTGTCATTTAGATAAATGATTCCCAACTTCAGATCCACAGGACCTTGGGTGGCCACACAGTTTCTGCAAATACAAAACCTCACCAAACATAAGCTGTAAATTAAATGTTATGTCTTACTCTTCTATGTGATCTTTTAAAAATGTGTACAGATTTTGATGGGATAACACAAAAATCCATTTAAAAGTACTTATTACTGGTCTCAAGTAGCTTCTACCCATTATATATGTATTTTTTTCTATTTTTAACTTTTTATTAAAATTATTACAGTAGCACTTTTAATGTCTAAAAGTGGAATATAAGTGTCCAATCACAGACAGTTAAATAAATCATGGCAAATATGATAGAATACTAATTAACCACTAAATATGCACATTTTAACAAAATGAAACACTCGTAATAAGACTACAAGAAAAAAGTAGGGCACAAAACTAAATGTGTGTGTGTAGGACTTCATTTCTGTTAAAAAAATTAAAGATTAGAAACAAAACTGAAATTTTTTATTGTATTATATATCATTTTAAAAAACAAGGGATACTAAGCACAATGCTACCATGTGGATGTCTGAATAGATCTTAAAAATGGGTCCTCCATACTCAAAAAGATTGGAAATGCACTGTTTAGATAATCTCAATCAACATTTCATTCTCTAACGTTTTGTTCAAATGGAAAGAAGACAAAATAAAATAGATCAAAGTCATAGCTCCTTTTCCTATTTCTTCAGGAAATTTTCAGAAATCTGAGAACAGATCTCAGAAATTACAATCTGGAAGTACCTGTGACCCTAAATGAATGTTATTCAGACTCTGAGGTACTACTGTAATTCAATTTCATACAGCATTTTTCTCTTTGATACCACCTTGGGCCTTATGGGGGAGGAAAAAGAATACAGAGAAGGTACTCACGACCACAGTATACATGAAAGCAGACACTGGGCTTGGTCAGATGATACACATGGTAGCCTCCAGGGCAAGCCTTGACCTCCACGGTGGTGTTCCAGAGGCAGCAGTTCCCGTTGAAGCTTGCACAGGCCTGACGTTGCACAATGCCGTCACCTTCTAGAGGGTGGCTGCCATTGAGCCAGACAGGTGCGTGGGTTCCACAGCGGTTTTCTGGTATGCAGAAGGTGGGCATGGCATCCCCTGCCATGCCTGTGAAGCGGTACCACTCCCCATCCACATGATTGTCACAAAGAGGGGGACCTTGAGACTCATCAAATTGGTGGTCAGTGTTCCTCCAGGGCTCATTCAGACTGATGTAAGCAGAACAAGGATCTAGGGCTGGGAATGAAAAGAACTCCTCAGAGGCACCTTGTGATATTTCAGATCACAGTGACAATAGCCTGAGTCCATCTTCTTGGTCTTAAATTTTGGTGTTTTGGGATTCAAGAAAGAAAGAATTCAAAGCTTCAAAAAGTAGCTGTTTAGGATTCCTCAAATTGACTTATACATGTTTCATAAATGTCTTTTACAAAATTAATTCAAATCTACTTAAGGTTTAGTGTTAGATTGGACTGAAATTTTGATCCAGAGTAATCATTTGATAGGATGATTGTTCAGACCAAGAGAGGTTAGGATTATGGTCTCATTGAACTCTACACTGATTAGATAATATTTCCAGTATTGTGTTCACACCTGGAGGCTCTATTTTATGAAGGTAATGGGCAAACTTGGTGTTCAGAGGAAGGTGACCAGAGTTAGAAAGGAGCCTAAAAATTATTTACTGGGAAAGAGGCTAAGAACTATAGTTTGGAGAAAAGAAGACTGAAGAACATGCATCAGTTAAAAAATATCTGGAACAGGCTCATGAAAGCAAAATTTGGTATTCTGTTACAAGAACAAGAACAAATTGTTATGGGGAGGCACATTTCAGTCCAGCTATCCAGTCATGGAGAAGCTGTATCACAATGTGGTAAGCTCTTCATCTTTGGAAATTTTCAAGAAGTATTTGGATAGTCATTTGTAAGCAAGATTATGGAAGGAATTTTGTGGTAGTTGGAAGTCTGACTTGATAATGAATGTGTAAACCTCATTCGGCTGAAGAGGAAAAGGTCTTCTGGCATATGTCAGCTGCTTTGAGATACACCATATTATTGGCAAGTAATTACCAAAGGTATTCTCAAAGTGGATGTTGGTATATATCCCATCACCTTACTGAAAATTTCATGAACTTTGTGTATTTACATTTAGCCATGGCATTGCTATAATACAGCAAAATTTCCTATGTGTGCATTTTTAGTGCATAAACTGCATGGATAAATATCTCATAAAAAACGTTTGAATGACTAAAGACACCTATATCCCCAATATCCTCACTACCTCCCTCAATTTCAGGGAAACATTGAGTTAATGTAGGCAAATTGTCCTTATGAAGAATCAAGAGATTCTACAAAGGAATACTAGATAGAGAGCAGTATCCTTCCTTAATGCATGTGAGGCTGACTTAATCGACATTGTAGGGAGTAAATTCACATTAAGCCTGGTATACTTTGTTGGCAGGAAATTCAGTTTTAATGAATACCAAACAATAATTAAATGTGGACAGGACATGATCATACAATCTAAGTTGTCTAGAAAATATTTTGGACTTTCCCAGTCTACACTTCAAACTCAGGTTTGCTCTCTAAACTCAGTCATATGTAGAGGAGGGTATAGCTTATTTAATGGCCCAGTGAGAATATCAGAATTTGGGACAGAAAATAAGTAGGATATTCCATTTTCTAGAAATTACATATTTGCAGCGTTGCACATGGCAAGAGCAGCCCATTCCTTTAAAATGTCTCTGAGTTACTCCAATTGTGCTCTAGATCGTAGTTTGATGTGCCTTGAGGGGAAGAAATTTCCTCATACAGACACTCTCCTCTCTCAAAAGGGAAAAATTCCCTCATCTGCTCTTCCAGCTGTGGTTCTCTTATGAAGCAAGGTTTCCACGGCAATTTCACAGGTGATTATAAATTCATAGAAATATTTGGTTCATCTCCTTGGCTCTAATTTTGTAAGAAATGGCTAGGCATTCAACTTTTAATGGCATTTACAGAAATACCTAATACTCCCTCAAAAACTATTTCATGATTTTTAAAGATTTTCCTTAATTTTAACTGTCATTTTTTGTGTTATTTGTTAAAAGTTCACTTCTCTGCCTAATTTGGCTACCCAGGAAATGAATTAAGATACGATATGAAGAAGAACTTCCAACATCAACATCCTCTGGAAGAGTCATTCCAGAAGATGATCATCAAAAAACTTCAACAAAGATCCTGGCACTGCTGCAGTTGTAGCTGCATTCATCC